AGCGTGCCAACAACAAGGTGGTGATCGGTTGATAGCTCTGCGCCTCTTTTAACACGAATATCCATTACTGGGCGTCTTAGGTCAGACGATACGATTATCAGATCATAAGACAACTTACTAAGAAATACAACAACAGAACAATATGGTCAATCAGAAGGCTTTGCGGCTCCAAACATGCTAGCAGCTGCAGGAAGCAAGGAAACCATCTGAAACTGTACCAACCTCATACTTCGAAGAAGGCTCAGAAGACACGACCCGAAACATCAGTGGTTGTCAATCATCGGATTTGTCATGTTGTTCTTTGGCGTGTATAAAGGATAAAGGATGTGCTGTTTTAAAAACTTTTCTACACACATGCTTATATAGTGAGGGCAACTGGGCAGTAGGTTACATTGTGTGCCAGGGTGCAGATTCAAGCGCAGCTCTGACATGAATTTTCTCTTATTAACTACCAATTCCCTTGAGCAAGTAATTCAGCCCGTTGTACTTCTATACAACTGACCGAAAACAAATGACCGGTCGCTGACTGCGAATAATAGGGATATCATGGTACTCTGACGCGGTCATACATGAGAGACATACGGCTATGGTGTCTGATGTGTGCGCTTTTAGGCCAGTTAGTTGATGGAAAATTAGTACAAGGTGTACATGTAAATTTAATTTATATGAATGACTGTGCATGTACATAAATTCACAGTAACATGTAACAGTAACGCAAGCATGCATGCTTAGCTTTATACGTGCAGGTATACATATGTACAGACGCATGCATTCCATTATTTTCCCTATGCAATTCTACAGTTCGACACCCACCGTGCAATTGCCAGCGTGGAGGATTACCAGGTTCTCCAATTTAATTTTTTCTTAAATTATATTATGAATCGTTCGTTTCTGGGATGTATTTTTCATGATTAACATGACAGTTGAGTTTTCGTCAAATGAGGTATAAAAATGAAAGAGGTCAGCTTCGAACTCCAGAATAACTTTATCTTCACCTCCATTTCGTTTCAGCAACGAGTGCAATTTTCGTCGATGCAGCCGGTAGAGAATGTACAGAAGTCTTTGTCTTGCGAACAAACAAACAACATGGTGCTCTGGTACGGTCGGAGCAAAATTGGCGGAATACACGCCAGTGTTATCTGCTCGAAGGCCTAATATGCCGCAGTGCTCCTTAACCCACCCACGTAATAGTAATCATCTAGTGGGGCAATTATCATTGAGTGTATTCCGTTCTGCTTGTGCTGCTGATATCAAACACAGTATAGATAGTTGGTAGCTAAACATGTTCAGTGTGAAACCTCTCTGATTTTCTGCTTTCACTTCGTATCATTGTATTTTTACATGTGGGCCTCTGAGCATCTTCGTTTTTGCCTGGCTTAATATTATTTTCTCAAGAATAAATTTTACAGCAAATTTTAATCATCCAACTCATTTATTATTGAAGTTTAATTTTAATGACTGTTCTGAAGGTTTG